TCCTTATATTTGCTTTGACCATATACCACTGCTTCATCTGGGATGCTAGGAGTGCTGATTGCTGCTTAGATAGGTACAAATCATAAAGAAAGTCATTCTGGTCTTCCTGACTGATTCAGTGTGGCTCACTGCCACTTGATTCTGAATAACCAGAGATATTATGATCAGAAGAGACTGACTTGCCAGGATCCTCCCCTGAATAGAGAATAGATCACATCGCTAAGGGAAAGTTGGGCTATTTCATTTTTTTCTGGAAGAAATATTGTAACCAGTTATGTATGTTAGACAAAAATAACAATCATCTACATGATCAGTTGTTCCCTCCACATTATTAGTACAGCAAAGTTGAAAGCTATTTTCTTGCTATTAAATCATGAAGTCCATTTGAACAGAGTTTACAACTGGAGTCTAAAGTTTGTCCTGATTTCCAATTTTGCAGTTAAAATAGTATGATTAAACCGTTCTCAGGAGGAATGTAAATTTTTGGCATTGTGCAACTGTTGTGAAATCGCCACATATGTAACAGAATGAATCAACCTTGTTTACACATCCTCAGTGTATTGGAGTGCCTGATACCATTGTAGAGATATGTAACATCTCACAAAAATCTTAAAAATAAAATAAATATTGATTTTTCATATATAGTTGCAAAATCATAATATAAACATGGATGCAACATATAAAATGGTTGTATATAGATATAGGACTGATAAAGGTCATTTGGCATATCTTCAGCCTATCAAAATGTTAATATGAATTCAACTTCCATAAATTGGTCTTAGATACCTATTTATGTAGTTCATTACTGAAACATTTAAATCTTTTTGGTTTACACCTATATGAAGGTTGACTGAAAATTTCATGGGCTAAGATACTCTCATGGAATGTGACCAAATGAAATTTATTTTTCAACATAGTGGTTGTGGTCATTACATTTCTTCCATTGGTGTTGCAGTGCTTGGTTCCTATTGGTGTGGAAGCTTTCATCTTGTCGGTGAAAAAAGTAATCAACATGATAACATGACATTATCATCCCTGCAATACTGGTTCCCAGCCAAGTGTTTTTTTCATGTTTGAGAACAGATGATGGTCAGGTAGGACTAAATGAAGAAAATAGGGAGAGTGATCAATTTGTTCAAAGCCACAGTCACACACAGCAGCCATTGAAACCAAGGACATGTGTGCTGGAGATAAGACCCTTTTCATTAGTTTTTCTGGGCATTTGGTCTGTCTTGATAGCTTTTCATAACTACCTCAACAAGTTGGCATAGTACTGTCCATTGATGGTGTGGCCCTTTTGAAGATAAACACAATGTCGTTTGCATCCCCCAAAAAACTGAGGCCATCACCTTCCTTGCAGATGAAATGACCTTAGCCTCCTTTGGAACAGGTGAGGTGGGTGTTCCCACTGCATGGATTGTCTCTTCATCTCTGGCTCAGTGATGAACTCCATGCTCATTCTGGATTATGAAAAATTTCAGGAAACCAGCTGAATCTGACAATGGCTAATTTTTCCATGATGTCATCAGCCTGGCATGCTTTAGATGAGGTGTCAGAAAATGTGGCACCCAGTGAGCAGAAATCTTTGACTTGCCAAGTTCATTGTGCAGAATGTTCTCAATTCTCTCATGGGAAATGCTAATAATACTGGCTATTTGATATATAGTCAATTGTCTGTCATTTATCATCCTGTGGTGAACACAATCAATGTTTTCTTTGGTGGTGGCAGTTGCAGTACATCCAGACCTTGGGTTATCTTCAAAATTCTCTCTTTCCTTCCTAAATTCAGCTGACCACTTTGCACTGTTGATAAAGCTGAAGTGTCATCCACTAATGTAACAGCCATGTCAGCATGAATGTTTTTGAAGTCTAAACCCTTTTTCTGCAGGTACTTAATACCACAATGCCAAATTTTGTCCATTTCCAAGAGAAGTCACTACTAGTCACTTAGAGGTCTTCAAATATCAGTTTACCTGGAAGTTATTAATAAGAAGAGTTGAAATTAATGCAAGCAAGATTTCACAGCTGTAGCACCACTCCTTTAAGTCAGCCTTTGAACTTTACAGCCTACCCTTGTATGTATTTTTATGTAAATACAAGTATACATTTATATCTAAAAAATTAGAGGTGGTAAGTGAAAATGGATATTGTATCTGAAATCAGCACCTCCAAAATTAATTTACAACACTTTTTTTTATGTTTGCCTCAGTTTTCTTTTTGCATCTTTATATTTTTTTTTTTAAGTCAGGTCCATCATTTTAGTAATGGTATTCCAAAACCAGTTGAAATACATTATGATTATTTGTATATTGCCTTTTTTTAATGTGGTGTTAAAGAAAACTAGAAATAATTGTTTGATATCAATTTACATTTTCTTTTATGATTATCTTGTTATTTTATCCATCTTCCTAACATTAGACTTTAATTTATTCATTTTATAAATTTATGCTTAAGAAGATAAATTATTATTGGTATGTAATACATCTCACGTCCATTTTTAAAGCTTATATTAAAAAACAGAAAGAAAAGAATAAAGCCTTTGCCTGTTTCCATTGCTTTGGGATTACTTTTGTTATATAAAAAAGACACTTACATTACACTTCAAAAGTTTGAAGCAACCCTCTGTATTAGCATGGGATGAACATGACAGAAGAGTGAAACCTTTCCATCCAAAAAATTGAAAACAATTCTTAGAGTCAGTGAAAAAAGAATGGAATCAATTATCAAACTTATGCTTTGAAAAACTTTTGCAACGAATGCCAAAAATTTGTGCTGCAGCAATCAAGGCTAAAGGAGGATATTTTGACAGGAGTAAAATTTAATCATTTAAATGTTTTTCTTTTTGTCATAATAAAATTTCTAATAAAAAATCATGTTTCACTTTTTAAGCATGTGTAATAATCTTCTCTTATTTAAAATACAAAACAACTACATTTTGGTCCAATTTAAAAGATTACCATGGGTGACCTCAAACTTTTGAACTGTAATGTATGTACTTATAATAGTTGTTAATAATCTTTCTACTTGAGATGATTATTGACATCAGCAGCAGTCTATGCATTATAATTTTCAAAATTTCAATATTCTAAATGTTGATTTGTGTGTATTAATACATACAAGTAACCGTCTCTGTATGGATATATGGAGTTACTTGTTTTAGGTGGTAAAACTTTTAGTGTGTGTTTACATAACTCACTATACATACCAACTTCTTCAACTCTCCCTATCAGCATAATCAAACAAATCTCACTATCCAACTTCAGCTTATTTGACATTCAATGAAACTAAAAGTGAATATGAAATAGCATTAAAAATGTGTTTTTCAGCAAAACTTACATGTACACCTAACAGAACAAAAAACACAACAGAAATAAACACATGGTTCATCCACCATGTAATAAAAAAAAGTGAAAACTTATATAGATAAATATTAATTGAAATGATTGTCAAACACTACCCCAAATCAAGTAAACTGCATGAAATATTCAACTGAAAAGTCATCAATATATCATAAAAACCTACATCTACCTGGGACTGCAGAACGAAGTAAAAATGCTCACAAAATGGTTACTACCTACAAAGTATTGTAATATATAAAACTATGGTAAAATCCAAAGATAAAATCATGTATGAATAACAGATGGTATTTGGAAACAAGCAAGGCATACAAAATATTTAACAGAAAATATACAAACAGCACAAAATTATGAAATATTACTGATCATCTGCCCAAAAGAGCTGATAACATGACTCATCTGACCTGGTGACAAATCTCTAGTTTTCAATGAGCCAATACTGATATTTTATGGCCTGTACAGTGCATTGAGTTGGAATATTTGCCTTTGTTGGATAGTTACCATCCTTGTCAGTTGCTAACAATCCTATTTTTGTATCACCTGTTGGCATCCATAGATTTCATTTGCTGCTGGTATGTGTCATGTTCCTGCTATACTCTTGCTACTGTTGCTGGAGAAAAACTATGCACAATTTTCACTTGTGTCACATCTTTCTGACCCCAACCATCATTTTGTAGTCAAATGATATTTGTATTTTATGTCTGTCATAGTTATACTGTCTCTCCACCTATTGATTGTCACATATAGAAATTGATACAACCAGATGACTTAAGTGTTGAAGAAAGAAACTATCCAGTTTACTGCTATCTATAATTTTGTTGTATTTCAGTTTATATAGGTACAGACTTTATAAACAAAAATAAAAATACCTGTAACATTGCCTAAATGATAATGTTAAAAGAAAAAATAAGTGATTAGGTAAACTTTGTTTTGTAATATTTTATTCAGTTACTAGTGCATCACTGTACACTGGTGTTTTTAATCATTTATCTTTAATAATTTACTAGTTTGTCTCTGGGAGGAACATTTCTGTTCATTGCAGAAATAACCAAAGTGAAATCAACTGCATAACAAAAAAGTTTTATTAACCATTAACTTTAATGTATATTTGCTGGAAATATTCTTTCAGAAGCAGCTGTGATGTTAATGGATGAAGGTTTCAAAATAATAAAACTCTGTGTGTGTGTGTACCTTTGATAGGATATGTTTGTTTTTTAAATGAAACTTGATATCATCTAGTTAAATCACATAATATACTTTAGTTTCTTATTCAGCCACTGGTCCAATGAACACAAATCCCCTGAGCACTCTTCACAAATGCTAGTAATGCTTATTTCTGTAAACTCATCAGAGGGAATAAAGAAACCTTACTACATAGTATTTGATTTTAAAATATCCCCATTTAAAAGCATACACAATCATATGATTATTTAGTAAAAAAAAAAAAATATATCTTATGATTACTCTTTCACATGTATTATTTTTTTTGTCTTGATTTTGTTATTTTAATGACACTAGTACATTAAAATAACAAAAGTACTGTTAAAATCCATAGTTGATTTCAATACTTTGATAGGATTAATTCACAAGATTATCATTCTTTGAATACTTAAACAAATGCTATTGCCTGTTTCTCTATTACAGTTACTCCGAGATGAAAAAAGACCACATCCTTTCTGGAGGTTTGAATATTACCAACAATTTTTTGATGTGGATTCTAATCAAGTATTCTGGCGCATTATGGGCTCCATGACCCCAAATCCTCGAAAAAACTTCTTGAAAACCCAAATCCGACCAAATCCAGACTTGTATGGTAAGGGGTAACATTTGTTTCTTTATATAATGCAGTTACTATATAATCATTTATATTGTCTATAAGATATTTCACCTGTCACAAAGAGTATAAGTGATTAACACAGTTAAATTAATATAATTTTCTAAATGATCTGATTTTAAATTAAATTATTAAATAATAATTCAGCAATAGTTTATGTAATCTTCACAGCTTTTATATTTTGGCTAGCAAATATTAGCTTATCTCTGAGCAGGTGCTGAAAGTTGTCAGTCTAAATCACTTCTGATCAAACAATAGAATTTTTTTTTCCCAACCTCATCTTGATTGGGCAAAGAACTTTTCGACCCTCCTCTCACATAAGAACCTGAATTTTTATTTTAGAACTACTGGAACTTAATTTGAATAAATCTTTGTTTTATAGCACATTTTGATCAGTTTTCTTACATAGCATGCTGTAAAAAAATATTTTTGTTTAATGAGTTTAAAATTTTATTCTTTTTAGGTCCTTTTTGGATTTGTACAACTCTTGTGTTCACAACAGCCATTGCTGGAAATCTTGCCAATTATTTTCAATCAAAAGGACACAGTTATCATTGGCAGTATGATTTCCATAAAGGTAATTTTCTGCTATTTAAAAAAAATAATCACTCCAAAATTTACTATGTGAATTTGATATCTCTTATTTGTCTTCAGAGAAATTAACAGCTTTTGGATAACCAACTAATTAGTAATTTTAATTGTATTTAGTTTGATATTTGAAAAGATGGAAAACAAATTAAAAATTGTAGATTTCTTTTCTTAAATATTGATACTGAATTTTGTTTTCTACTTATCTGATGGCACACTAAAACACTCTTGGTCTAACCAAGAAAAACTTTAAACAATATTTGGTTAGGTTTTTGGGAAGTGGGCCAGTCAAAGAACTCTTCAGTATTCCTTCATGTATGATTCCAGACATAAATGATAATAATCAAGATAAGTGTCAAAGAAGTTGTAGTAAGCAACAATTCAAATAAGGATTTAAGAAATGTTATCTAGGATTTCAGATTTTACAACCTGAAGCTGCTGATTGTAGTAAGTGGAATGTAGAATGGAACCCAGTAGATTTGATTGAGCTAAAAGCTTCTTTTTGATATTCATTACCTGCTTCATGTCTCTAGAGAGAACCATCAGGGTAGGAATTTTTAGAATGGTCTTCTTGAAAGGTCTGGTTTCAATGCTAAAGTATACATATGTAGATTGCACTTCATAAATTAAAAGCTGTGATTTCACAATAGCGGTACTTACACAGAAGAAAGGTTTGAGGATAAGTTTGCATCTTTTAGGAATGTCAGGAATCTTTTTTTTTTTTTTTCATTTCAAAATGCAAGAATAATACATTATTATTTTTTAAAAAAGTAATTCATGAATAATGTCTAACACAGAAAACTGCTTAGTTTTAATATTCATTCCCTTTTTTTGCTGAAAACATTTGGTATCATTTTTTTTTTTTTTTTTTTTCTGTAAAAATATTCTTGACAGAAATGCTATAATTCTACATAAGACTTTAGCATGGTTTGGGAAAATGATTGTCAAAATCCCAAATATATCACATATGATAAATATCCATATCTTCTCCCAATGTTCATTTTATCCAGACTTTTCATTAACAACTTCACTTTTACAAATATTATGTATTGCATCGCATGAAAGGAAAATAACTGTTCAAATCTGTTTTTTGACATAGCAAGAAAATGGATTACTTCTATGCAACTAATTTGCTAAAATGTCAAATAAGGCATTTAGTAGATGCTTTGGTTCTAATTTTTAGCAAGAAGTACTTGGTATTACTTTTCCATTTACTATAGTAAACAAAACCAAGGGATAAATATTCTTTGTTTTAATATAGTTGATAATTTTTTTTTTTTTTTTTAAATAAAGTTTATAATTTTTCTAGATGCTGAGATGACTTATCGTTTTAGAAATAATTAAAATTTTTAAAAAATAGATTATGAAAAAAAAATAGTTCATGGACTATTTTCATAAAAAAATCAATTCTCGGTCATTGTGTCATTGTTTCCAAAATTTAATATAAATAAATAATTAACATAGGAAATTGATTAATTTGAATATTTATTCACATCAGTTTTACAATATAACAAAACAATCTTGTTCTATTAATAGTGAATACCAATGAGAATTATCAGCTTCTTTCTCTTTAACAAAAATAATTGCTTATTTGTTAAATGAATGGTTGCCTTGTGTTATGAACTACAGTTTATGTATATCTTGGAACTCAAAAGTAATTATTTAACTACCTATGATGTGATTTTAAAAAAAATAATGATGTTAAATTATAGCAATTGAGTTTTATTTTATTGATATAAATATTCACATAATATGAAAATGTTAAAGTAATCTTTTTAATATTTTTATTTTAAGTGTAAACCTAAAGAGCATCTTTAATATTAAATCATCTCATATGGATTTATTTTTCTATTTTGTAATAATAATAAAAAAGATAACTCTTATTTTTAATTTTCCTTATTTTTTTGCCTATTGGTTTTTAGAGTATTTTTAAGAAGCTGTTATTTGGTTGGCTTTTCAATATCTCATCAGTAATGTCATTTGATCCAGTCAAGCATTCAAATTATATTTTCATTTCTTAATATTTCATAAACTCTTTCACTTGCATGTTTCTATATTAGTAAATTTAGACTTTGTTACAATATAAATATAAGTGAATATAATTTGAAAATAATCCAAGTCCTTAGAACAATAAAATTCATAGTTTTTGCAAGAATCATACAAAATCATTATAAGTACAACCACTGAATTTTAAGATATTGAGAAAGAAAAAAAATAACTATTGGGTCCATTCATTGTTTATTTTACTGTTACTTTGTTTTCATATTTACCTCTAAAATTTTATTAAATAATTACTTTGTCTTTTTAATTCATTTTTCCATTATGTTTTGTTCATTCCATTACTGCTGATATTTGGTCTTATATTTAAAGTTGTGCATCTTCTTTCTGTGCTTGCCATTGGATTTGTTTTCCTTAATTGACAATTTTCTTTTTCTCTTCTAGTGACATTTGCTGCTACTGCAATATTCAGTTACTGGTGGATAATCCCCACAATGCTTTTTGGATTGCTTTGGTGGAGAGGCAGTAGTGCAGGATACAGTTTCCTGGAAATGATAAGTGTTTATGGTTACTCACTGGCCATTTACATACCAATTTCAGTAAGTGCTTCTTTTTTTCTGTATGTATATCATACACATTTCCATTGAGGCTTGATATTTTAACTTGTTTCTCTGATTGATGTTTCTTTCATGTTTTGGATGCAATATTTTTTTTTGTTTTGTTTTTTTCCATAAAAATATTATTTTAAGTCTTTGTACTAAGGTTGTCTAAGATTTTATAAAGAAAATTATACTTGAAATTTTTTTTTTTTTCTTTTTTGAATATTCAATCTGAACAAGATTGCCAACATCTGCTTGTGCATAAGAGTTCAAGCCTATCTTATTCAGTTGCTTTTTTACTATTATTACTTAAAAGCATTTTATATATATATATATATATATATATATATATATATATATATATATATTGTAACTAGAACTGCCAGTAGAAATGTGGTAGGAATGAACAATAGGAGAAATAAAACCAGAGCAGCTGGTGACATTTCTGGAAAAGCTGAAGTAGATACAAAATAAGAAAGGAACTATCTTAATCTTGTTTTCTGAAATCAAATTGTTCTACATCATTATTCACTGTAATTACTGATTATTTGATTTATCTAATCTCTTTGCTGACAAAACGAATATATGATATTGTAATTATAGCAATTTTTCCTTTTAATTATATATGCAAACAGATTGAAGTGGATTAAGAGCAATATTTTATAATTACTGTTCATATCAGTCATGTAGGATACCTAAAGTGAACAATGCTTCTGGCTGACATTTTTGCTTGGCAATTTCTCATAATTTAGTGAAAAACAACTAAAATGAATTCTTTGATTTAAAACCATTCACAAAAAATTATTTAAGTTAGATTCTGAATGCTAATTTTTATATGAGAACAAAGTAATAAATGTTTGATTTACTTGTTGAAGTTGATACTCTTTACTAATATTACTTTCCTTTCCTCTATATTCTTTTTCAAGGCCTCTCAATTGCAGTATCCTTATTGTTAATTTCACTGAAAATTATTTTCTGTTGCCATAGTAGGATATGACAACACAACTATGAAATTCAAACACACTATTGTTCAGGGATCAGTCACCTTCAATAAACATTTTGTACAACAAATAGTAACATTCACAGTGATAATGCTTAAAAAAAAGGAAAAAAAAATCTTATATCTCTGAAAAGAATGTTGAGTCTTGTTGTAAGCTTGTTTTTTTTTTCCAATCTATGTTCTGATGACCATAAAATGACAATTGAGTAGTTACAATGAACAGCAATGGAAATTAAAAGGAAATAAATACTAGTCAGTCACAAATTATTAAATGGTTGACAATATTCTTCTTGTTTTTTTTCTTTTTGCAACTTTCACTATTTTCTTGAAACAAACATTTTGTTGTTAAATTCTCTCTTGTGATTGATATAGCATCTAATAGCATGTAATCATTTTCTAACAATGTTTAACTATTATTACTTCAGATACTCTGGGTTGTGCAAATCAATTGGTTCCAGTGGTTACTGGTCATTATTGGAGCATCACTCTCAGGAGGTGTCCTCCTTTTTACTTTTTGGCCAGCTGTCAGAGAAGATGAAAAAAAGGTAGAATGTATCTTATTACCATCTCAGATATATCACTTTAAAATATCAAATCTAGTCAAAAGTTTTCATTATTATAAAAATGATCCACGATTTTATCACAACTTTGTTTCATTGCACCTGCTTCCATCTACAAATCCAAAATAACTTACCCTTCAGAGTTAAATTTCTAGCTGTTTATATTTTATAGGAGGTACAGACTTAGATAAGTTGAGGCAATCAACAAAATATAAAATTCACCTGCCTTTTATTTTTTATGTGCTCAGATAAATGCTGTAGTCATATTTAACTTTATGAAGTTAAATAAAATTTTATTTTTCAATTGAGCTTTTAAGACTAATTGATAGTCATTTTGTTTTAGGTAAGAGGATAAGGTTTACAAAAAATCTGTAAGTTTAAAATGTTCAAAAAAACAAAACATCTTTTGGTATATATGGTTAAATTAATTTTCATATTTAGTGCATGTAATTTTCCCCTCCTCAGTAGTAAGATTATTTTTACTTTTTTTATTTCATAAGAAATCAAGATTTTTTTTCTTTTTACAGATTGCTTGGGCAGCAATGTTCCTTATATTGTTATTTCATGCTCTGTTGGCCATTGGATTTGTGGTAAGTTATCTTTCTAAATTTTATTTGTCAAATTTAAAAGAAATTCATAATGACAACATAGTTGCTGAGAACTTATGGATGACAGAGGAACATACTATACTGGGTCACTGTCACAACTTTCTCCATTCCTACCCACCTCCTGTCATGTATAATCAACATGTCTATTTTTTTGTTCACTTATTGGAGATTAGAAAAATAAAATGAACATATTAATTCAGAATAAAATCTTATATAGAACATTTTCATGCCAACTTTGTATCATATCCATGAAAATTTGTGTTGCTGTAAACTTAAAATATCTGGGTTAATAGTGTGACTTTAAAACTGAGTTCTTCATAAGAATTATAAGTACTTATATATATGTATATTAGAAACCATGTAGGTGAATATATAAATGGAACTTTAAAATACTCTGTTACCCCTAAAGAATGTTAAATATCATCACTGATATACTACTATTATTGATGGAGAAGAGTGCATATAGGTCAAGTATTTTCTGTTATGAATAAAATACGATGTTACTGGTATCTCTTAGACAAAGCTTTTAGTTTTTGTTTTTTTAAGTTAATCAAAAATGACTTTAAAATCTGTAGCTCAATTGGACAAGTAATTGCCTTATTCTCTTTAAGTTAACAATAACATTAAAAGGCACTAACTTACTATGGTAAAATATAGAAAATCCTAATATAGATTATACAATACTGTTCTTATCAGTAACTTCAGAATTTCTATTTTTCTGAGTTTGAAAATTAAGCCAAACTTTGTAAGAGAATTAACTTTTTAAAGAAAGGATTATTTTAGTCAACATTTATAAATGTTTCTGAAGAAACGTTTGTAAAATCTGCCTGGCTCAACTTTTATAACTTTATTTTTTAATAAACATAATCAAAGCTGTATAGGAAGCAGCCCTCAGAATCTTTGTTTGGTTAGGTTTTTTTCTTCATTTAAGGAACTTATTTTATAACTATTACTAAAGATTATTTGTATAACATGAATTTGATTATTGTTATAATGGTTATATTCTTTTCTGATATTAAATTTGTTATATTTTAAGAGTTAGTAGCTCAGAGTATTTAAATATATTAATTTCATATTGACTTGTGGAATCTATTTCTTTTAAGTAAATTTACTCAGCAATTTTTTTTTTTATCTTTAACTACACTGAATAGAAAATATTTGTTTTGCAGTTGTATTTCTTCCATGTACCAGCACCTATTCCTAACCACACGGGGACCACCACAACTTTGTCACCTGCCAATGTACCTGCACACTCAAATCATCCAGCTCCTTCTGAATTTTCATCACCTGCATTGGTGAACAAAGCACCAATACCAACCTCTACAATAAAGTCTACAAAAGCCGTCCAGAATAAGACAACGCCATCAACACGAAAGAGAAATGTTGCTTAACAAAAGGCATGAAAAAGTGCATGAAGGGTGGGAAGTTTATATTAAAGGGAACTAGACCAGTTTTTTTTTTTTTTTTTTTTATTTTATTTTAAAAAAAATCACCTGTTTTTAAAAGATTTCACTTGGTGATATCTGATGAAAATTGTTGACCAAATTAGAGGTTCATTAGATATGAGGTTTCTTTGTTATTGTTTTTTTTTTTTTTTTTTTTTTAAAAACAAAACTAATACCAGCTATATTTAATTTAAGCTTTCACTTCCATCTATTATTCTTTCAACTGGACAAGTATTTTAGTCTGTTGTCTATTACAAATGGCTGGAAATGTTGATGCTGTCCTGTAGAAATTTTAAAAGGCTTAAAAAGAAACTGTGTGGCTTTTGGTTTTCTTCAATTAAAACAAAAAATAATAATAACCCTTTTTTAATATATAAATATTAATGAAAATCTCTAATCACACAGCAACGTTTCAGAGAAAAAAATGATTGTTTTTATAAAAGAGAAAGAACATTAAATGTGTAAAGGAGTGCTGAAAAGATAAAAAAAAAAAATCTGTTTGGTCATTTGTTCAGGTTTTGGGAAGTAGGTTGGTCCAAAAACTTTTCAGCACCTTCTTATACCTTACTTGAGATGTTTGGTAACAAAATTTAACTTGTTGAAATTTAAAAGAATGTTATTTAAAATATAAATATTTGTGTACTTTTTAGTTTTGTTGAAGCAGCAGGTCCCCAACCCCATAAATTCTTATTCAGTAAGATTCTGTTTTTCATAGTGGATTGTTCATTCCTTTGCTTATTTATTTGCATCAACTAAACTACAGTTGATATTTAATGTTAATTTTCTCCAATTTGCTATAGGGGAATTCTTTCTTTCTTTTAATTAAGACACCAGCTTTATTTTGGAAGCATTTTTTAATAACTAACAATTTTTCTATTGCATGCATTATTACTTTTTTCCCCCTCTTATGTGGGTTGAGTTCTTACAAAACATGCAATATTTGTCTTCTCTTACTTTTTCTAACCATTTATCTCCAAAACCTCTAAACTGCATGTGGTATTCAGTTCATCACTTAAGGAGGTAGAATTTCATCATTTGGCTTCATCTTAATTTTAAACCTCACCTCTCAATTACTATCTTAAAAAAAAAAAAGCCGCAGCATCATATCAGTCTAATGGTTATGAAGTTTTGTCTTTGTGTTGAGCAAATTTCATTTAGTATACTACATTTTAGATTGTAAATACACAAAATATAAGTGCTCAATCTTTATAAATGAACTGTATAAAAAACTTACTGCTTGGAATTTAAATAATAAATTCCATGAGAAGGATTATTGCAGCAAGGTATAAATGGTTTATAATTTTTAACTGTCCCATCATAATTTGAAAGTTAAACCTGAATTTCTTGGTAATAACTCAAAACTTGTTGCTATGGAAAGCCCTTTTGTATGTGGAGTAAGATATTTCTTTGTGTTCTTGACACATTTCTATAACATTCCATTTTATAGTCGCTTAGTATTGTTCTGACTTTTCTAGAGAAAAATAACTTTATTACTTGCTGCCTTGATTCAGTATAAGTAAATATTGTCACAATTGTCAGTTCTATCATCATCAACAGCAGCATTCTCACCTTCCTAATTCCTGCCAACCCCCACTTACTAAGTCTGCACTTTTGTTGATCTTGTTTTTGAACAATTATACAAACTTTACAATTCATCTACATTAGATCCCACTAAGGAAGACTTTTTCTTAAGACCTAATGTAATTTTTGATTTGCTTTCTTTCAGTAAATAAATTGGTGACCGACACTGCTGAAACAGTCTTGTTGATTGACTCATTTCTTTTACCTTAAATTTAATTTTTATTACAGTAAGCTAAGTTTTTTAGTACTAATCAATTAACTGCTGATGACAGAAATTTCAGTTAGGGAATTTTTTTTTTTTTATCAGCATTTTGAAAGTTGCTTTTGTTACTTGTAATGTGTTAATATTCTCAGAATATTAACATTTATTATATAATTTTTCCACATATCTGTCCAATCTATTAAATATTTTAAAAGGTAGAAAAGTATTTACTATCTGAAATTGTAAAATATTCTAGACAAAGGTAGGTGAGAAAGTGAAAGGAAATTTTTTTTTTTTTGTATGTTGACTGCATAAGCACATTGACTACAGAAATACATTATGGATATAGGAATTTTTTGTGGTACTTAATATAATTGCATCAAAAGTCTTGAATTTATATCTATCTTTATACACTGTGAAACAATATTGCTTGCTCCAACAAGTGGGCCAACATTTTCAACCCCAGTAGAAAGCGAGAAAATTCAGCCTTATTCCCCCTTCTCAAATAAATAAAAAAAATCGCTAGTTTAAGAGGCTTCAAACAATTTTGTAATGGAGACTCATTAAAATAATACATCTATAGCATAATGCAAACAGAAAAATTTTAATTTATAGAGGAACTTTATGTGAAACAACTATTGCAACCTTTTTCTTAAAAAAAAACCCCCAAAAAAACAAAAGATACTAAATACAGTATTAGATGTACATTTTAAAATAAATCCATGTGAATCAATGCACCTAGAATTATCCATAAGTTACTATACTTAAGCATATGAAGTTTGAAAGCATTAATGTAGGCATTAACTTTCATTTCTATCCATGCTATCCTTGCCAGTCATTACATATTCAACCAATAATCTAATTTACTACAAGCAATTCCCACCTGCAAGAGAGGGAAAAACTGCTGCTGTACATTATATACTCACATTGTTATCACCAGTTTTAAACATGGCCATATATTCTGAGCACTTAGTATAATGCTTAAAAAGGTTCTCAATTGTGGTCATCTACAGTTTGATTTTTTTAAAAATAGCAAAGTTAAAAACTAAAATGGGTTATTTATTTAAACAAAACAAAGGCTTGTATTTTACATTCATTTATCGTCAAAAAAAATGGAAGACTAATTCAAATCCAATTTGGACTGTGCAAAAGAAATTAAAACAAAATTTAATCAAAATATAGATTTAGCAAAATGTTGATTATTTTTAGAGAAATACAGGGTATTAAATAGCTACTTTTTAATAAAATTAAAACTAACAAATTACACAGCACTTATTTTGATTAACTGTGCTACTTAGAATGATTGCTTCATTACTTATCTAAATATAAAAACAGTCTTAGTTGGCAAGAATGTAAATGACAGATGGCTATAAAAAGGTACTGTTTTGATATCAATTAAACAGACAGATTTTAGAGATACATAAAAGTTGTCTTCCAGTTCAGAAATTCCATATTGGTGTAGTTACAATATCAGTGAACCTCAAGCACAGAAATACTGTTAAAGGATCAAATCAACAGACTAAAAAATTGTTTTACTACTAATTTCTTCCCATTGTTGTTACTATTAATTTTACCATTAAAGATAGTTTTCTTAGTTTTGAAATCTTTTTTGACCACTAATAATTTATACTTCCCTTTATAAACCATTTAAAAATTCACATTCAAAACTTCCACACAGAATTAGACAGTCTTTTATAAAGCAACAGTTCCAATTACTTCCATTTTTACTTTAGGATGTTTGGAGTAAAGAGTGAAATATCAAAATAGAAAATATTTGAATAAGAAAATATAATGAACAATAATTTGGCTTAGTTAATCCCCCTACCCCAATAGAAATCATTACTCACACTAAAGTGTTAGTAATAATACCTATTTTCAAAACATTTAGCTAAAATTGATAAGGTACTCTTAATTGACATTCTAAATTACAATCATACCTGTTATCAAGTATGGATTTTTATTTTTAATACTATTTCAATGTTCATTCACCTTTTTATAATGATAAGTCTGAACAAATGAGTAATTCTTTATTAGAGGTACCTATGCCAAATACACCAGCATACCTTATATACATTTCTGAAAAGTTTGATTTTAGAGAGCTGAATCCCATTCTTGAGTACAAATATTTACAAGCTTATAATTAGACAAAAATGAAGTATAAACTGTCTTTGGTAATTTTATTTCTGATAGTGTATGGGTAGTGAAAAGGTCACATAAGTTGACATGGTTTTCAGTGAATTACTGTTTAATCCCCTTATCTGTAACTGTTAGAATTTACAAAACTTCTCAGAAAACAAGGCCAGGTAACAAAAAATAAATTGGATAAAAGATCCAGCAACTTTGGGTCTAAAAATCTTGCATCAAAATTAAAACAGAGCATCTGAAATATATTATAATTTATTTTAGCTATAAATTGGTGGCTTTTAGACTTCTGCATTATTTCTGAAGCAAGAAATCATATCCAAAGAAGATCGTTAAGTTCAACATTTATTATTTTTGCATTACTATTCTTAGTCTTATTGATAAAAGAAATTAATTTATATTTTCTGGAAATGCATGCTCAAAATATGAGGTGGGTAAATGAAAATATTTTTGATGCTAAACTGGAAGATGACTTTGAGCCATGAAATAAGGAAAATAAAAAGTTGAAGAATCCTCTACTTCAAGTAATGATTTTTGAGGATAAAACAGAAAAAAACTCAAATCTAGTTTTGATTATTGCAGTTTTTATATATTCAGTACTTTCTGTATGAGTTTTAGATAATTGCACCTCAAAATATTTCAGAAAGCTTAACAATTCCACTCAGACATGATGTGGCCTCAACTGATTTGGTTAATGATTCAAATGTAAAGCATATCCTGAGAGGAGTCGGGTAAAAGATCTAAACTGTGAGTAGGGCCATGACCTAGTAATTGAGGTGACATTTCCTCTGTTGGCCAAATTTCAGATCAGAAATAAATGGTTGAGGAATTTGCTGATAGAAATATTTGGTGAGATTAATTACTGACCCCAAAAGCCGCAATTTATCAAAGTCAAAAAACCCAGTATAATATTTATGGTTATATGGACATTCTGGTTTAAGGGCAACTTGCCTTTGAGATTTTCTATAAGATTGTGCCTTCCTGCAGTTGCTGCTGCACCTGTTTGGAGAAACCAACTGAA